CTGATGATTGTTTTGAATAATGATTATTATTATTATGGATAGGCTGTGCATGTAGTTCGACCTGAAAGATCTTTTGTACAGCATTGCGTCCAACTAGGCCAATTCCAAACCATATTTTAGCTAGGTGTTCTGGGCAGACGCTTAGAACGTGTTCTGCTCTTTCCTTCCGAAACTGGATTAAAAGTTTGACAATTCTCAGGTTTCAGGTTCATTGACATTTTGTAAATAAACAAGGATTACCATATTCACTAAACTATATTTACTATTAGTAATTTTAATTAAATGCAAAACATGAAATGAACATGCAATTCTTAATCGCGACAAATTGTGAACTTGGCTAACAGATCCTGTCACTTGCTTAGATAATTTATAGCGATTAATCAAGTGATTTTTAGTGGCCACATACATTTCACTGGGCTTAAGAAAGTGGCCCAACAAGTTTGTTCGTAGTGCCAAAGCAACCCAAAAACTTGGCCACAAACCCGTCAACGTTAGAGGCACAAAGATGCGCGTGGTGATTAAAACACATTAAAATATCCAGTAGCCAAAGTTGATCATATTAACATTTATATTCGTACCTGTCTGCACACAACTTACGAAGGCAGACAACATCAATTATGAGCATGTGCAGCAGCGTCCACTGCCACTGCCACTACCAGTGCCAGTGCCAGTGCCACTGCACATATGGATGTAGACATAGACGTGCATCAGCAAAGGAGACAAGTTCCAAACTAAAAATGTTTACAAATTTTATTTTTTTTATTTTTATTTTTAGTTTTTCGATTATAATTTATATTATTATTAAATTGTTTTTTTAAATTTTTTTTTATGTTTTTAATACAGGGTGTGTGTATGTGTGTAGCTTATAACAAATAATTTCGTACATATTCGTACAATTGATTAAATTCTTGAGCGGTATGTGCACAAATTATTGATAATGATCATTATCACTACGATGATCGCTGGTATCCGTAATATATTTGGCAACGTCATATCTGCACGTACTTTTTTAAAGTCGAATTAATTTTTGACGTTTTTTTTATATATAAATTTTACTTTGATTTGCTACCAAAAAATTTTTGATGAGTTAAAGCTACCTGTTGAGATAAGTTATTTAACGATGTACGACGACAACCGAACGTCGTCCAAAATGTCTCATCATTTCAAATAAGACAGGAACAGAACTTCTGATCAGTTTCTCAAAGAAATATATAAAAAAACTAGAATAAATAAAATTTAAGTAATTTTTTGTTGTAGAAACGGAAGCTGCTCGAGAAGATGAGCATATTATACGTGGCAGTGATTATAGTTATCCTTTCTCATCTGGATCAATGTCCAATATTTTTAATAACATTATAAACTAAAGTCAATCGTTGTAGTTTTTTCTTCCGATAAGTGGAAAGGCTTAAAAGCCACAATGTGAGACTTAAACTGACTGAAACCAACTCTTGAAAACAAATTGAAATTATCTCAGCCATCAGACTGCAAAAAGCTTCTAGAAGAATTCCGATTACTAAGATTAGGGGATGAAAGTTCAGGCTTCTGTTCAGTTGTCAAATACATTTGTACATTTTCTTCTAAATGACATTATTAATTACTTTATATAATTTATACTTCAAAAATTATTTAAGTTAATTTGACTGTTCATGACACTGCGCTCATTGTTGGACTATTGTATCGTACTTACCTTGTAGTCACTAAATGGTTTCTTTCAATTCGTCTAAAACCAGAGTAGTCTTAATATTTTCCAGACCGATGTTTGACTACTAAGATTTATTTATCCATTGTATGCTCTAAATTCTTTTCCTAACCTAGTGCAAGGGCAGAACATTCTTCAAGAATATGTAAGAATATTTCTGAGTGTTCCCAAAATCCTCTTCAATTGTATTACTGGTAGTGGACTGCAACAGTAAAGTTCAATTTGGCAGTTCTATGAAATTAGTTTATGGTGACTTTCATAATCAGTTCAACTTCAGCCTCAGGTATCCAGTGAAAGGTCACTTAATTTCACTCAACTAGATTTTGTAAGACATTACATTATGTGAAGATGTGTACTCCTTTAAAATTCTGAAACACATTGTTCTATGAAGTTCTTTTACTGAATTGTGATAATGTTATAATGTATAATGTAGCAATAGATCTCATAATATAAACATATTATAGGAAAGCTATAAAATATTCCAGTTTTTCGTTATATTGTGTACATATTTAGGTCAAGTTGAGCACTAAATGCAGGTGTAAGTAAACTGATTGATACATTCTTCTGATATAAGACTAATCTTGTTAGAGGGCAAAATATTCTGAATATAAATTATCTGCCAGTTGTTAATATGATTTTCACTAATAACAGTAATACCAACTCTAAAAGAGCACCTTTTATATGTGTAATTAGAAATCCACATCATCTCTTACTAACACACTAACATGATCAATATCATTATCTGGTCCCAGCAATCTACTTTCATTTAATGTAAAATTTAAAACTGCCATGTGATAAGCCGGCTTTAAATAGAGCTTTATTAAAAAAGCCGCCAATTTATTTATTATACATATTTTCGTATCTTACATGTCAATTCAAACTGTAATATTCTCATAAACGATCTTACAGGTACTAAAATATTCGATTACAGATTTCGAGATAAGAAACATATTTTTTTAATCATTTATATCCAATATAACAATATCATCAGCTTATCTATAATAAAATCTTAATGCTTTATCGAAGTCTCATAAAGCCAATATTTTGTGGTTTCCATTTAGACTCAACATCCCAAATCCAAGATTGTTATATCAATCACAATGTGTGCAGCGTTAGCTTCGAATATTTAGCCAAAAGCATTTAAATTTCCGGTACTTTGACAGTAGCGCCAAAATATGATCATAAACACGTCTTATCTGTTTTTCTTGAGGAAAAAAATTAAATATAAAAGTGCAAAAAAAATATTCAGATACTTACGTTGTATCTATTGTGCAGTAGCGTATGCTTTAATCACGACCACTTATCATCAAGAACCCTTACAACATACACACACACACACATAGAAGTACAAAATGCAATGCATTTACTAACACTAATATAGGGAAAGTATCAAACAATTATTGGCATAATCTCCAGCTACCAACAGTATCAATTCCAACATAACTGCAGGGCTATCAATTAAAATTTTGATCGAATTTTCGTCAATTTTTTGACATGTGCTCCAATGTACGCTGATGTACTCGCATATAAAAATCATTTTAATGAAAGCTGTGCCCAAAGTTCAATGTAAAAATTCAGTGCTCCGGGCGCATGTCGCTTATACGTAATATCTGCACAAACAGAAAAAATAAATAAGATCACCAACGGAAAAAAAGATTAAAAATATAAAAATTGATTAAAGCGTAAATGAATTTTTCGACTGGCACATAACTTGCCAAAAATCACAGGATCTCATGTATTCGTTCTTATTCTTGTGGCTGCTGTGTGTTTATGCTGGAGTTCAACTGACGGAAGGATGATTATAACTTGAAATCAATCGGTGTGTCGTTGATCGCTAACTTGATGGAGCTACTGTAGCAGAGGCATTTTGTCAAAAATAATGCATGCAGCAGATACGAACCACTCAAACTCAAATGCATTATTAAGTTTCAAAACACGTCGTTTTTTGCAGGAACAGCACCAATTTTGACAACTTTGCCATAGGCGATATGTAGCAAAGTCTTCTCGTAATATGGTATCGAGAGTTTTTTTCGGATTTTTAATGTATACAAATTGAACATGGTTTATCCCAACGATAAAGAAAGGATGAACCTTTTTGAATTAGTATATAAAATGAAATTAATCACTTATGTTCAAAATATTAATATTCATGAAAAACAAAAAAGAATTTATATTATATTAAAAGCATTTCATTAAGAAAATATATGCAGATATGAATGAATTTTAATTTCTGAAAATATATTCTTATAACCCAACCTCAAATAAATTAATAGGAGAAAAAAAAATTTCATTTAAAATCACTTTAAAAATATCTTATAATTGTAATTTACATTTTACTACATCTTAAATAATTAAGTTTGCATTTCGGAATTCTACGCAGCATTACGTACTCGTATGACCTCACTTGGTACAAAACTGACACTTGTTGATTCGTCGAGGACATTTAAATTCTATTGCAAAATAGCAGAAAATATACTTTCTAATGACGAATTAATTTTATTTCTTTATTTCTTTATTTGCGTATTTACAAATGAAATAACTAATAAATTTTATTATTCTTTCTAATATAAATTTATTTAGCTACGCTTGAAGCTTGAGGCTGTATGTAGCGAAGAAAGCAATCATACAAGATCACTTAAGCGATCAGTCGCAATATAACGAAAACCACAACTGATATTATTTATTGGTTTGACGAAATTTTCTTTTTAAGACCTAAATTAAATAGAGCTTTGAACAAAAGACCTCGAAATCGCATTTAAGAAAAAAGTATTCACTTTAGTCTGATCTTGCACATGATCACTTGTCTAATAAATATTGAAAGCAATCAAATCAATACAAATTAATAGAGAAGAAGCATTAAACTACTGCTTTCAACTTTGTCAAATAATAAACAATAATACAAAATTGGGTTATTTTCTTTTCGATTTTTTTTATTCGATTCTGTTGGGCTTAATTGGTATTGAACGTGCGATTTTTGGCTGCGGTGAACAAACTCTTTAAGTTTCGGTGAAACTTTTCTCAAAAAAAAAAAATGTTTTTTATTAACTGCAATAATAAATAAAAAATATTTAAGAAAAAAAACTCTATTTACTTTATTAAAAAAATCATTTAGTTATACAAATATTTTTAATAAACATTTATGCTTTACAACTTAATTCATATCTTAATTTGATAAAACACTCGTACATACTCGTACATATCAATTATGACTATTTTTAGAAAAAATAAACAATAATAATAAGCTTATAAGTATATATAATAATAAATGAGTTCATTTTTTCTTTTTTCTCTATATTAACAGAGCCAGGCTTTGGCCTTAACACGTGCTGCAAATGCCGCCGCTGCTGCTGTAGCTGCAAATGTGAAATCACCGACGGGTAGCATCACAGATATTGCTGTTAAGAAAGAGCACTCATTATCGCCAAGCAATAATATAAATAATAATGCACAAAGTTCCTCAACGGGTGGTGGTGAAGATACCCCAACACATCATCGACGCACTTCACTGCAAGGCGTACAAGATAAACTGTCACAATTACAGATGCAACAACATAATCAACAACAGCAGCAGCAACAACAACAACAACAACAACAGCAAATGCATCAGTGCAACGATGATGAACAGAGTCCACGTTATGTGACCCCAGGCTTAAACAATAATGTTGCTAGCAGTGGTGTTATTGGCGGTCGACGTTCTACAGATAATGCATCACCCATACCAAATGTAGACACTAAACTTAATCTTACCTCTTCAATATCTAGTCAAAATCTCATACTGACCTCAACACCAAAGATCGAACGCGATGAACGCAATAATGTTGGGAATTTCGCCTGTCTGCCGCCCTCCGCTTTGAATGCAGTAAGTGGGGCTATGAGTTCTTTAGTCGCCCAACAGCAGTGCCATAATGATAAGCTCATAACAACAACCGCTGGTCTTGAGAACCGACGCGATTTCGACATGTCCAAAGTTAATTGTAAGTAAAAATATACATTCTATTTATATATTAATACAAAAACAATATTATATTATATATATTTATATATATATATTAATATATATAAATTTTTTATTTATATGAATAAGTACATTATATGGTCTATATAAATAATACAATTTTATGTATTGTATCTATTTTAATAATTAATTATTATTTCTACCTATATTTCTTTTTAAATTATTAATTATTAAATTAAATTTCATAAATTAATATTTTTATTTTTTATACATATTTTTATATGTAAAACATATTATTTTAAATGGTTTTGAGAACAGACGCAATTTCGACATATCCAAAGTTAATTGTATATAAAAATATATACATTAATATTTTATACATATAAAATTATTTTTTAACTAAATATTTTAATTTGTATATTATTTTTAAATACATATTAATTAATATAAACAAACATTATTTCGTTAATACAATATATTTAGATATTTTAAAGTAACTACTATAATTAATAAGAAAACATGCCTTCTAATATAGATATTAAACGCTGCTATACTAATAATATACTAAATGCATAAGTCTTGACATAATGTAAAAAAATTGAAAAATAATTAAAAAAATTCTAAAAAAATTAGGAAATTTTTGAAAGGTCTTGATATGATATAAAAAAAATAATATATAAAAAATAAATATTATAATATATAATTAAAATAATTTTAAAAAAATCAGGGAGTTTCAAATCATATACTTATTAAGACATATATATATATGCTAGAGAAACTATCTTATAAGAAATGTTTTTTTAAAATAAATGTAGTATATGGCGCTAAACTTATTTTACTATACGTATCTATTTATTCTTTCAATATTATAAATATTAATAATAAAATGTGTCACTTTAAATATTAATTTATTAAGTATTATCAGTTACTTATTCTTATGGATCTACCACAATCTATTCATTACTAATATATAACGTTTTACATGATTATATGTTATATTATTATAAATTGTCAGGTATATATTCTTGTAATTCTATAGCCATCTATTCATTAATAATTTTATATGCTTATATTTTTCTAATATAAAAATCGTTCTCAGATTTTAATTTCTTAATTAATCATACAATTTTGCATATAAAAAATAACAACAAATTAAAATTCTTAGCTTTGATATTTTTATCTCTCAGAAATCTACATGACTAATGGCAAATGTTATGAGTAATTCGTTATCAGTGAAGTAAATATACATTAACTTTTTCAAATATTAGAAAAAAATACTAATAATACTTTTAACAAAAACTAAAACCAATAAAGAAATATTAGCTCATGCTAAGGTATCAAATAGATTTGTGTTCTTAAATTGTATTTTGTATTACTTTGGTTTATTTTACAATTCAACGAGTTCTAGAGAAATACTCAATATATAGAAGTTTAATTTTATACTTAAATTATCAAGGTACAAGTTCAACCATCGATACTATTAACAATTATACTATTAATAATACTATTAATATTAATAAATAAATATCAGAAATATTTCCATAAAAACTACTGTTGATAGGTATTTGGCAATACCAGAATTAATTAAAAGTAAAAAACAAAAAATAAAAAAAAATTTGTTGTTATGATTCACTATTGTTAATTATTATTATTAAAAAAAAAAGGGATTGCGCACTGCAATCTAAAAGATCTATTGTGCTCCTTACTCGGGTTGGAATGTTTCTCCAAATCCGATTTCTTTAATGAAAGACAGTATAGACCCTACCTTAACTAGTCTTGAATCTTTATAATTCATGAAATACCTTCCTAGGTGTTTCTTTCGCTTGTACATCAGTGCCGGGCACTCCCCAAGCACATGGAATGCAGATTGTCTCTCTTCTCTACAGTATCTGCAGTCTCAGTTGGATTGAATTCCTAACTTCGATAATTGATTATTTAATCTACAGTGACCGTAATAATTCTTAGGTTGTTTTTTGATTGTGCTATGCCATCTTTGAAGCGTTTTAAGTTGTAAGTCTCTAACAGCATTTTACGTTGTGAGAGTCCTGATAAACTTTCCCAATAGAGTTCTCTTACTTTTTCCTCTGCATCATTCTTAAGAATAGATAGAGTTTCTTTGCCTAGACCTTTGCCTTGTTATTTAAATATAGGAAATATTTCTAAAAAGACCACTCATTGTAGGTATTGTAGGCATTACTCAAAATAATTAAAAATTAAAATTTTATAAAAAAAATTGTTGTTATAATCTACTATTGTTAAAAAACCTGTTGTTAAATTATTTTATTTTAATTTTTAAAACCAATAAAAACTCTAACTATTCTTTTAATATTATTCCTATGTAAAGAGAAGATATTACAAATAAATTTATTCATTTTTTATTCTTCAAGAAAGCAGTAATTAGTTTCTTCCTACCGTATATCAATAAACACCTTCTTAATGTTCCTGATATTAAATATCTGTCAACTTTAATATATCAACCACGTATTTGAAATGGAAATAAATAAATAAAGAGTTTTTTTATGTATCGAAGCTATATATATATATATATATATATATATATATTCGCATAGCATATAGAATCCGATTTCTCTGCAGAAATTTAAAGTATACTGCATCCTTTTATGTTAAATGCACACTCTTATATGAAACTAATAAAGACCATTTTCGCCAAACGTTTTTACTTAATAGCCATAAATTATTTCTCATTCGCTAAAAACGTGTTATATTCTTGACAAATGAGCTGTGAATTCTTGGTATCTTTATTTCAAACTTAATTAAAACACAACTTTGCTGACTCCTCTTTAAAAAGTTACTTATTGTGAATTTTAACATATGGAACAATAATTGGTGCTTAGAAGTACTGCAATTTTCAATGAATTTCTTGCCGTTTTCTGAAGTATTTTTACTAAGAAAACTTATAAATAAAATGAAATCTTTAATAAACTTCATGTGAAAAGCGCACATACTCTACTGTAGATACAACTGTAGATGGAGTCTCAATAGATAATCAAAAGCGTAAAAATAAATGTTTACGTACCTATGTAATCACACTTTTAATGTGCAGAAAAAGGATTCTCGCCAAAACGTAGTTTAACTTTTAACACTTTGTGCTGGTATTTCTGTTTCTAACATTCTGCTCCTCTACTTATGTTAACAGCATTTTATAGAGTCCCCAATGAATAACGTTTACCAAGGAACTTTTTCATATCCTTGTTTAAGTATTTTCAAGTAAAGATAATTGTATATGTGTCTCTTGTTGTTGAGATTATTATTTTCAAATGCTGATAGATATTTTTCATCTAGAGTTTTGCAAATTTTTTTATTATAAAGATAAATTTAATGCGTCTGTTAATAACATTTTGTATAATTCATTTGTATGAGGTGCATTGTAACACATATGTTTTCAATCTGCCCAAACATTCCTATGCATTTGCAATTCTGAAATTTGTATTGTGTGCCATAGGTATGTTCTTATCAACCAATCCCTTCCATATTTTTTTGTGTAAACTTTTACAGAAAAGCACAATATTTACGCTGATGACACGTTTGTGGATCAAATGGTTGCTTATTCGTATGTTACAAACATTGCCTACGTAAGCGATAGGTACTCCCTTCTACTATTTGTGCTGTTCTACATTCACATATTGGCAATATTATTCTGAAGTACACAAGTTCATAGGAATTTTTTAATGATTGTGCAGTATTAGATGTCAACAGCATTACTATCCGTTGTCAGTTTTCATCAAACTCTATGTGAAAATGTAATAGGAAGTCAACAAAGTACAGTAACGATTGATATTTTAAATAAAGACAGATATTCAGACTATAAACTTCGACTGAATAGTAAAGGATCTTATAACGTATAAGTGGCTTTTTTACATAAAATAATTATTTTGAAAGTTATATATAGTATATAGGTCACCGCACTGTGGAGAAAATCATTAAAAAAATTAAAGAATGAGCGGAACAAAGTCGCACAACTTATTGAAAATGTGATCCGGAAAAAGAAGAAAGCCTTGTACGCAAACTAAAATTAAGCAATCTTTAGATAAACACTTTATAAATCAAAATCGGAGTGGGGACCTGGGCGCAGGTACTACAAGAGACATACTATTCGTTGGCAATCTATGCGAAAGCGGTTTCGGAGGTGACTGATCACGAAGAAGAAGTGGGAAAGCTGAAGAAAGTAAAGGTAAATAATTTTCTTAACGAACTCCAAAGGAGCATAATCCGGTACCGGTACCGCAAGGGATACAACTAGAAAAGTACCGAAATGGCCCAAACTGATTGCTTTTGTGTTCGCTTTAATTTTCCTAAGTCCAGGAACTTAAATTAGAGTGACGACGGCTAACCGGTTTAGCTCCTCAATTATATCTCTATATTCTTCAACTAATTTTGGCTTTTTCATGTAGGACTGAAGGGTTTTTTTTTGTCGCTTGGCTCTTGCGATACATATATATATATATATATATATACTGAATCTAATCTCAATTATTAGGATTAGAGAAACCCAATATACCGAGACCAAATTTACCGATTTCATTAAATAAATTTCGTATTTATAAACCTACAATTTCGTCGGAATCATTATTCTGATTGTTTTAATATATACATAGCATAATCATATGAATGCTAAATTATTCTAAAGATTTTGAAGTACTCATCATAAGCATTATATTAAATTTCTGCACGCCACTGTTAACTTAAATAACATTTTCTAATCATGTAAACGACAACAATAGATTTCATTTGTTAAATCACCAGAAATGTCGCCTCCAATATGCCACCTAAAACAAACTGTTGCAGCACATGAACCTGAAAAACGTTCAACAAAATCAGAGATATACCGATATAAATACAAGCCCCTACACACAAACCTACACGTAAAGATCCTAACCATCGTTAACAAACAAACAAATAAGTAGGAGTATAAGCAAAATAGAATACTCGTAGCACAGAGCAAAACAGAGCTTAGAGCTTAAGTGTTAAGCGTTATACAAACCCCATATGTGACGGGAT